CGGGGCACATGGTGCATGTGCGCACTGGCCACGGCCGCTGGCATGCAATCCGGGGTCCACTCCCAGGACGCTCAGTACATGCGTGGGCCGGTCATGGCCGCTGGCGCGTAGCCTGGGGCCCACCCCTGGGGAACACGGCGCATGTGCTGCCCAGCCTGGCCTGGCCAGCACTGCTGGTGCGCATGCCGGGTGGTGCACGGCCCTGCAGCTGTGGGGGGGAAGGGTGCTGCTGGCCGGTGTCGCAGGGCCAGCGCTGCAGGAGCCGGGCGCACGGCTCCTGATGGCAGCTGTAAGGGACACTGCGCGCCCCTTACAGCTGCCATCAGGCGCTTCCCATCGGTTGGCGCCCTGGGCAGCTGGCTCAGTGTCTCTAATATATACTTTTTCAGCTCTTTGTATTTTTATAATTTTCAGAGTTGTGGGAAGGCCATACAATTCTTTCAATGTCAGTGGAAGTTGAGATTCAAAGAGTTCTAGCTTTAAAGCTGTTGAAACAGAGAGATACAGGGAGGGAATTAACATTTTTCATTGGATCAAACATGGTTGGTGAAAGAGATCAGCCTACTGAGTTCCATAGAGCTGGAGGAAAGTTCTGTGGAGTTCCACAGGTTCTCTCTTTCACCAGCTATATCTGGTCCAATGACAGATGTTACCTCACTCACCTTGTGGCTGTTATCCGGGTACCAGCACGACCACAACCAAACAGCGAAAACCACTAAGTGTCAATATCACCTGTCAAGATACATAAAATAAATATCATAAAACTAATTCTGATTTGTTGATTTAACTCTTCATTCAGTAGTCCATGTGTCACAAGCCCAGTTCAGAAGTTTTTATCACTGAATTTTGACTCTAACAAGTTTCCAAGCAGCATTTTTCTTGCTTTCTCTATCTAGAAATAATTTAATTGTGACTGATGGAAATAATTCAGGTTTTATGTGTGTACAGTGAAATCAACAGCTAATGGCTAAATTATTTGAAAAAAAAGAAAAAAGAAAAAGACCTCTCCCCCCAACCTTGAGTTTTCAGGGGCTTAAATATCTTCTGGAATCACAGTTAAAGTTTCCTTCCCCATCCCCACCAAAATCTGAAATGGCACCTTTGGTGAGTGGCCAGAGGGCTGCAGGAGGGCCATGGGGAGCCCCCATCTGACAGCATGGAGCTCACCTTGAGCTGTGGGCCAAGCACCAGGGAAGAGCAGCTGCAGCAAGGGAAGTGCCGGGGCTTCTGCAGAGCAGCTCAAGCTGTGGAGGAAGACCCTCCAATGAAGGGTGATTGACCCACTCTGGTTTTTTGCCTACTATTTTTAACCTTATCCAATCTCAGCTTGATGTCTCATGTCTTGGCTCCAGAAAGACATCACATAGTCCTGTTGTCTGCTTGTCACTGGGAGTATGTTCTTTCAATTCTGCTGAGTATTGAATCCCCAAGAAGGATCCGTCTGTGTTCCTTGCATGGTCTGAAAACTCTTTATGTTAAGGTAAAAGGTCACACTTAGAGCTAGAACCCTTGAGGCTATGTCTACACTACGGAGTTTTGTCCGAAAAAACTGCTGTTTTTCTGATAAATCTTGAGGAACGTCCACATTGCGATTGCGTTCTTCCACAAAAAAATGAAAAGAACGTGAGGGTTTTTCCGACATTGGCAATCCTCATTCTACAAGGAAGAAGCCTTTTTGTGAAAGAGCTCTTTCGCAAAAAGGCATGTGTGGACCGGGAAGAGGGTGTTCTTTCAGAATAAGAGGAAAGAGGAAAAAGCACAGGTGCCCTGGTGGCCATTCCAGCCATAGCAATTACAGCTTCCATGTGAGAGAGTATCCATTCAGTCTGTATGCTCTCTTTCGAAAAAGCAGATCACTTTTTTGATGCACTTTTGCGGTGTGGACGCTCTCTTTGGGTATGTCTACACTAGCCCCCTAGTTCAAACTAGGGAGGCTAATGTGGGTGACCGAAATTGCAAATGAAGTGCAGGATTTAAATATCCCGTGCTTCATTAGCATGTTCGCAGGCGGTCACCATTTTGGAAACTGACTAGCCTGGAATAACTGCCCGCGTGCGTCTACACGCAGCAGTGAAATGGGAATTCAAAGTAAACCCCTAACTCGAATTTGCTGTTACTCCTCAGTTTCCAAAATGGCGACCACCCGGGAACATGCTAATGAAGCTTTTAAATCCTGTCTTCATTTGCAATTTTAGTCGCCCTCATTAGCCTCCCTAGTTCGAACTAGGTGGCTAGTGTAGACGTACCCTTTCAGAAGACTTTTTTTGGAAGTTTTTTGCATCACACTGATAGGTCCTAGGCATCGTGTTTTCCATCTGCTGGCTTTATCTTCAAAAGACTTTGTCTTCCCACAGAGAGGTCTGCAGTGGATATTCTACCCATTTATGCTGTGATTTGTTTTGATGGTCCTTGGGCTGAGTGTGATACTTCTCAGCCCTGTCAAGGGCTGTTGAATATAATAGGAACATGTTCACACAAAAAAGTTCAGTGCGAAGAGTTCTCCCACATGCTACGGGCTCTGAGTTGCTTTGAAACTGACTTTAGTTTGTCCTTTAATCTTCAGTGAACTCCAGCCCAGCAGCGTTGAAAGATGTGAGGATGAGGTGTGACTTGGGAAGTGTAAGTGTGAAGATGATTGAAGGGCTATGCTCTTTATGACTGTATGTGTGAAAGAAGATGCCTCAGGTCACATATGTTTGTTAGGATCTGGCTTTTTCTGAAGCAGAAAATGTGGCAGATCTGTGAGAGCAAACTGGGGAGAAAGGCAGCATGCAAAGTGTTTTTGTCAGGTTTTTTTCCTCTTAGCTGCATTTGGTTCCCTAATATAATAAATGCCGGCCATCGGTCATGAACCCATGACATTTCACCATAAAACCACCAACCCCTGCTGCCTGAGCAAAGGGAGTAAGCCTCCTGGCAGTTGTAGATAATTCATTAATGTCTTTGCTTGACCAGTCACTAGGGGGGGATGCAGACTGCACTGCCATCATGTGACTTATGCTAAGTTGCTCATTCCCTTTTCCGTGTCATCCCTTTCTCATATAGATCATCTTTAGAGCCCCCCTTTTAACATATCTAAAACCAAACACAATACAAGCAAACTGAAGACATCATTACATAGGGTACGTCTAGACTACATGCCTCTGTCGCCAGAGGCACGTAGATTAGGCTACCAGACATAGGAAAATGAAGCGGCGATTAAATAATCGCCGCTTCATTTAAATTTATATGGCTGCTGCGCTGAGCTGACAAACAGCTGATCAGCTGTTTGTCGGCTCAGCGCGATAGTCCGGACGCGCGGGTGTCGACATCAAAGGCATTTGTCGACCACCCAGGTAAACCTCATCCCAGGAGGCATACCTGGGTGGTCGACAAATACCTTTGATGTCAACACCCGCGCGGACGCGCGGGTGTTGACATCAAAGGTATTTGTCGACCACCCAGGTATGCCTCCTGGAATGAGGTATACCTGGATGGTCGACAAATACCTTTGATGTCGACACCCACGCGTCCAGACTATCGCGCGGCAGCCATGTAAATTTAAATGAAGCGGCGATTATTTAAATCGCCGCTTCATTTTCCTATGTCTGGTAGCCTAATCTACATGCCTCTGGCGACAGAGGCATGTAGTCTAGACGTACCCCAAGTCCTGATTGTCAGAGGTGCTAAGTATCCGTAGCCTCTATTGACTTTAGTTTGTGTTACAGGTGTGACAAAAAGCCTATTGCTCTAGGTCAGGGGTGGGCAATAATTTTTGTAGGAAGGGTTACTTTGCAAATTTTGGTACCTGGTCGCAGGCTGGTTCCGGGGATCTTAGGCAAAAGAGATGGGGCTGTGGGGTACAGAGAGACACAAAGACAGTGTGTGAGTGTGAAAGAGAGACACTGTGTGTGAGAGGCAGATTTTGTGACACTGAGTGTGTGCGGCAATGTGTATATGACAATGACTGTGTGTGTAGCACAGACTGGGGTGTGTGTGACAATGGCACAGAGAGGATATGCTGGCTACTGCTGGGTAAGTTTATGACACTGTCTCTTTAAGGGAAATCTGTCCTGCTCTCTTGTCGCCCCACTCTCCCGTTCTGTACTCCTCAGAGCAAAAGTTCCCAAACTTTTCGGCATCACACCCCCCTTTTGATTTTTGAGAAACTCTCATGCCCCCCACCTCTTCTTTGCCATCATCCAACCTCCCTTTTAACAAAAAATTCAATTTGTAATTTAAAATAAAAAATAAACACAAAAACTTGGTATAAAAATTATTTTAAATTAAAAATATGCACAAATAGTTTTTCTTGGCACAAAACTTTAATAAAAATGTAATTTAACATATGAAATAGCAGAAACAAATTGAATTTAATGTGAAAGATGCTGCTGCATTTTCTTCACGATTTGGGAAATCCTAGGTTTGAAAGATGAAAGAGTGCAACGCAAATAATTTTCGACATCCAGTCGATTTCTTTGTTTTGTTTTTAATGTGACTGAACTTGAAAAGCTTTTTTCACCGAGGTACGTTGACAAAAATGGAATAATAGGTAGTGCTTTTTCTCCAACTTTTGAGTACATTGGAAAATATTTTATCCAAAATTCCTCCAAGCTTGTGTTTTTGAAATTATCTTTCTCACATGAATAATATTTTATTCTGAGTGCTTGTTCTTGAAATACTTCTGGCAGTGAATCAACATCAATGTTGAATGGATTGTGTACTAATTTATGAATGGGGTTGCCAGAAACGTTGTCTGTAAAATAGCGGATGAATTCGTCAGCAAGGCAGTCCAGATGAAACACAATTTTGTTCTTTACATCCTCTTTACAAACTTCTTGGAAACCTTCATTTTCAGTGAGTGATGAAAATGTCGGAAAAGACAAAAAGTTAGGTGTCTGAGCTTTTGTTTGACGTTTCCAAAGCTGGATTTTTTCCGTAAATGCTTTGATGGCATCATAGTACGCTATAATGTTTGCAGCGTTGTTTCCTTGCAGATTCAAATTGAGGTTGTTCAAAGATTAAAAAATGTCCACCAGGTATGCCAGTGAAAGTTGAAACATTTGGTCCGTAAATGCATGATATAACTCTTCTTTCTTCTGTTGCTTGAGGAAAATTTCCACTTCGTCTTTTAGTTCGAATAATCTCGAAAGCATGTTACCTTTGGAAAGCCATCGTACTTCCATGTGAAACAAATGACTTTTATGATCTGCTCCCAAATCTGTGCAAAGAGCATCAAAAAGTCTCATATTTAAAGCACTGTTCTTCACAAAATTGACAACTTTGATGGCCAAATTCAGTGAGTCACATGGGTCATCTGGAAGGGTATGTCTAGACTGCATGCCTCTGCCTACAGAGGCATGTAAAATAGGCTACCTGACATAGTCAATGAAGCGGGGATTTAAATATCCCCAGCTTCATAAAAATAAAAATGGCTGCTGCGCTGTGCCAGCTCAGCTGATCATCGGCACAGCGCACGAGTCAAGACGCGGATCAGTTGACAAGGGAAGCCTTTGTTGACCGCTCCTGTACACCTCATGTCACGAGGCATAAGGGAGCGGTCAACAAAGGTGTTCCTTGTCGACCAAGCCACGTCTTGACTCATGCCCTTTGCCGACGATCAGCTGAGCTGTCACAGCGCGGTGGCCATTTTTATTTTAATGAAGCTGGGGATATTTAAATCCCTGTTTCATTGACTATGTCGAGTAGTCTATTTTACATGCCTCGAGTCAAGACGCGGATCAGTTGACAAGGGAAGCCTTTGTCGACCGCTCCTGTAAACCTCATGTCACGAGGCATAAGGGAGCGGTCAACAAAGGTGTTCCTTGTCGACCAAGCCACGTCTTGACTCATGCCCTTTGCCGACGATCAGCTGAGCTGTCACAGCGCGGTGGCCATTTTTATTTTAATGAAGCTGGGGATATTTAAATCCCTGTTTCATTGACTATGTCGAGTAGTCTATTTTACATGCCTCTGTCGGCAGAGGCATGTAGTCTAGACATACTGGAAGGGTTTTAGTGGCCAATGCTTGTCTGTGTATGACGCACTGAATTGTGGTTACGGCTGGATTTTTTTTCTTTCACCAACGTCACAAATCCAGAGCAAGAACCAAGCTTTGCTGGAGCACCATCTGTGCATACCCCATCCAGTTCTCCCATGAAAGTCTATTTTCTTCAAAAAAGTTGGAAATCATTTTCATAATATCAAAAGCCTTTGATGTGGTCATCAATTTCTTCGAAAAAGCAGTTCTTCCTTCACAGTTTCATTGTTAATGAATTGAACGTAGACAAGCAACTGACAGTATTGTGCTACATCAGTGGTATTGTCGCACTGAATTGCAAAAAAAGGAGAAGCCAACACTGCCTCCACAATTTGAATTTTAAGATCTTTCACCAACTCATTGATGTGACATTTCATGGAATTGTCAGAAAGAAAAATTTCCAACAGTTTTTTCTTGCTTTCGACACCAAGTACCATATCAATTGCTTTCAACAAGCAAGGCTTCATAAGAGTTTCTCTGATTATGTGCGCTTTCTTGGCTTTAGCGATGAGCAATGACAGTTCATAAGATGCTTCTACCACTTTGGCCGACACTTGATGAAAAGCTCCAGTAGTGTCCAGCTTCTTGCATTTCAAATTTTGAAGTTTATCAGCAAAAAACTCTTCTGGTTTCTCTGTCAAAGCGCAGTGGTTCTTCATCAAGTGTCGCTCAAGACGACTAGGTCTCAAGGCGTCATTGCTAAGAACTGTGTGGCATACTACGCATTGAGGATGATCAATCCCATTTTTTTCCATGACGGTGAAGCCATACTTAATGGATGGCTTTATTGTACAGTAAAACTCCAATAGTCAAGCATCCAGTTGTCCAGCCCGGCATCAACTGGAACCTGGAACTGCTCAGGTCAGCTGTTCTCACGGCTGGGCTGCTGTGACCCGCGCCGTTCCACTCATGGTCCCCAGCGCACACATCATCCAGCTTACACGTGCTAGCAGCCGGCTGCTGAGCACAGGCAGCTGCTTTGGGATCCGGACATAAGGTTGGGGGAGAAGGAGGATTGGGTGACAGAAGGGCGGGGAGGTGTTTAGCTCTGGGGAAGGGAAGGGAAGGAAAGGGGAGGGGAGGGAAGGGGGATTGGGTTGCGCATGGTGTCCCGGCCAGCTCATTGAGAAGCCAGCCGCTCAGTGCACGTGTCCCAGCTCCAGCAGAGAGACGCGCAGCTGTACTGGTGGCTCCAGGAACCAAGCATAAGGTGGGGGGTGGGATTGGGTTGGGAGTATGCCCCCTTATAGTACCTCCTGGTACTCTGGCATATCCGATAGTCTGGCACCAAAGGTCCCAAAGGTCCCGGATTATCGGAAGTTTACTGTACTTCCTTTTCTTAATCGCAGCCATAATATATTAATTAAAAAAATATATAAAAATAATTTTCCCAATTAGAATACATTTAATGGACACAAGTTACTTTGATAAGTTATTGCAAGTGTTTATTTACTACTACTATTATGTATGGACGCGTGCTGCCTTATATATACCCCACCACCAGTAACCGCGCAAGACCAGCTACCTACTCCCATGATAGAACAGTCCCAAACACTCCTGCAAGAGTGCTAGAAAGTTTGAAAAATTTCCATTGCCTTCTACATCGTTCTTTGGCCTCCCTGCCAACCAAACCGGTACCCCTACGCTTTGAAAGACAATATATATACTCAGGGCTCGACAAATGCACTCACCTGCTCGCCTGTGGCGAGTAGATTTTTCCAGCTGGCGAGTGTAGCTCACACTACAGGTGGCGTGGCCCCATCCGATCCTCCGGCCGGCGGAGGAGCACAGTGCCGCTGGGAAGGGGGAAGTGCGGCGATTCTTCCCACCAGGCTGCCTGCGTGCAGCTCCGGCGCGAGGAGGCAGGGCGGGACACCAGGACGCTGGCGTGACCTGGCCCTGCTGATTTTAAAGGGCCATGGCAGCTCAGCTCTGGCTGCGTGTCCCTGGGAGCTGGCTGCGGCGCGCGGCACAGCCAGGGCCGGCCCCGCTGGCTCCAGTCTTGCCACGGCCCCAGCCCCCCTTTGTCTCCATGCTGCCCATTCCACACGCCTCCCCCGCACCCCGGACCCCCTGCTCTCCTCTTCCCTGCGACCCTTTGGCTCTGCACCACCCTTGCACCCTGCTCCCCCTGATCCCTGCTCCCCCAGCTTTGTGCTGCCCATTCCCTGCACTGCCCCTAGACCCCAATCCCTCTGCCCCTCCCGTTCCCCATGTCCCATTCCCCGTGCCTCCACTGCACCCTGCTACCCCCGATCCCTTCATCTCTCTGGCTCTGTGCCTCCCATTCCCCGCGCCACCCCTGTATTCCCCCACTGTTCCCTGCACCCCTCTGGCTCTGTGCTGTCCCTGCACCCTGCTCCCCCTGTGGGTCGGGAGTGAAGGGTGCTTGCCCATAGGGAGGGGCTGGACAGGGCAGGGAAAAGGCTGCTGTGACCCAGTAGCGAGTGAAAAGGGGAGTTCACTTGAAACGCCTTTGCCTTTATGGAAAACGAATGAAAATGCTGTTTGCTATTTATAGGGCTAAAATGCCGGGACAAAAAATGAAAACAAACAAACAAACAAAAAAACCCATTGCAAAATGCAAGCTTGTAAAAGACAACAAAAAAAGGGGGAGGGGGAAATGTTTTGCTTGGGGCAGCAAAAAACCTAGAGCTGGCCCATGGGGAGGGGAAGGGGCTGGGCTGGGCTGTAGGGAGGGGAGGGGAAAAATATGGGGAAGGGGCTTGTGCTGAGGGGAGGAGGTCAGGAGAAGAAGAAGAAGAAGAAAGGGGAAGGTACCAAGGGACGGGGTGCAGGAGAGACAAATGCCAGGGGGCCAAGTGCAGACAATGAGGAAAAGGGCAGGAGGGGAGGTGTCAGTGGGAGGGGGGA